ATTGATGGCCTTGTAGGTTATGAGAAGCAATTTTATTTTAATGTGGGATTGAATAGGTAACCAATGCAAGCATTGAAATACTGGAATGATGTGTTTGTGTTTTTTATTATGGGTGACAATTCTAGCAGCAGTGTTCTGAGCACGTTGAAGAAGAGCTAATTGCTTGACTGGGAGTCCAAATAAAAGTGCATTACCATAGTCGAGTTTGGCTGAGAGTACGGTTTATATGATGGTCTTATAGGATTCCGCAGACAATAATATTCAAATTAAATCATTCACTCTTCAAAATTTGTGAATTACAATCTGTTATAACTTACTAATTATTCTAAAATATTCACCAATACAACAAATTTGAAACAAAATTTCACCTAAATTATAATCGTTAAGGTGATCCAACCATGCATGTGATACACACTTTATGGTTTGTACTTTTACGATGAACTGAATGAACATGGAACATCTACACAACACAGGATATTTCTACCACTTGCGCTCACCTTTGTCATACTCAGTAGAAATCAGCGTTTAAAAGGCAATAACTTTGGTTTTGTTATTATTCCCACTAGAGAATAGGAAGGGCTGTAATATTAATCATTGTTTACGTTTCCATTGACATTGGTAATCATAGATGGAACAATAATAATCGTATTAATCATAAAATTCAGATTTTGCACAACAGGTAATAAGATTTTGATAGCCATTAGTTTTTATCATTAGCATTGTTTGACTTTGATTTATTAAATTTTGGAACAAAAAATACAAGATGAAAAAACAGAATGGCAAACAGAAACATGGTACAATTACCAAGAATTCTGTCAGAGGCCAACAGTACAGTACAGTACCTGTCTCTTATACACATCTAGATGTGTATAAGAGACAGGCATCTCCCTTCTCAAAATCCATGGATACGCCAATGCGACATTTATTCAAAATTAAATATATCTCTAATAAGTACGCACAACACTTATTCCAGAGCAGTACCTAGCTAAAGAATAAATGTTTTGTGCCATGCTTATTTGAGAGCAGTAATTATTTGCGAGAAATACTTAAAAATGTATTGTCCGCTGAAAATGACAAAAAAAATTTTTAAAGTTTAAAATTAACAGTAATGTACAAATTATAAAATTCACCATAGAAATTATTGAATTAAAATAATTAAAAAGTTATTTAATGTGTACATAATCTAACTGATTACACTCTATAGCCTAGAGTTTACAGTCCATATCTGAGAACTGCAAACCATGGTATTGAGGTTGCAGGCAGTGGCATCGTATCCCTGACTTATTGATCGACTACTCAGCTCACTCAAGCATACAGCACCTGTTCAGTCCCAACGCGGTCTCCCAATCAAATGAAATATTTTAACAGAATGAAATAAACAAATTAATTACAGTAAATAGATGACAGAAGAATTAATAAATATTCCTAATAGGAACCAACTAATAACAAAAAAAAATGGGAGAATACATAAAATTAAATATTAATCACCACATAAAAATGACAGCAGGGTAAATTGTAAATATAGTATATTATATATTCAATCAATCAATCAAATTTATATATCGCCGGTATTCATTGTAATAATGTTCAAAGGTGGTGAACAAAGTTAAATTGGGAATGCTTCTGAGAACATGTAGTCTTTCAGATGTTTTTTTTTAAATGTTGACATTTTGTGAAGTTTTTTTGTCCATGGGTAAAGTATTCCATAATGTGGGTGCTGTATAGAAGAATGCACGATGACCATTACTACTTGAGTTTCCATAGGTATATGAAGGAGAAATTTATTAGATGAATACAGTGCACGGGAGGAAGTGTGATGTGTAATAAGATCGACAATACACTGAGTCCATTGATGGCCTTGTAGGTTATGAGAAGCAATTTTATTTTAATGTGGGATTGAATAGGTAACCAATGCAAGCATTGAAATACTGGAATGATGTGTTTGTGTTTTTTATTATGGGTGACAATTCTAGCAGCAGTGTTCTGAGCACGTTGAAGAAGAGCTAATTGCTTGACTGGGAGTCCAAATAAAAGTGCATTACCATAGTCGAGTTTGGCTGAGAGTACGGTTTATATGATGGTCTTATAGGATTCCGCAGACAATAATATTCAAATTAAATCATTCACTCTTCAAAATTTGTGAATTACAATCTGTTATAACTTACTAATTATTCTAAAATATTCACCAATACAACAAATTTGAAACAAAGTTTCACCTAAATTATAATCGTTAAGGTGATCCAACCATGCATGTGATACACACTTTATGGTTTGTACTTTTACGATGAACTGAATGAACATGGAACATCTACACAACACAGGATATTTCTACCACTTGCGCTCACCTTTGTCATACTCAGTAGAAATCAGCGTTTAAAAGGCAATAACTTTGGTTTTGTTATTATTCCCACTAGAGAATAGGAAGGGCTGTAATATTAATCATTGTTTACGTTTCCATTGACATTGGTAATCATAGATGGAACAATAATAATCGTATTAATCATAAAATTCAGATTTTGCACAACAGGTAATAAGATTTTGATAGCCATTAGTTTTTATCATTAGCATTGTTTGACTTTGATTTATTAAATTTTGGAACAAAAAATACAAGATGAAAAAACAGAATGGCAAACAGAAACATGGTACAATTACCAAGAATTCTGTCAGAGGCCAACAGTACAGTACAGTACATTAATTATATTTCTTTTAATCAGAATCAGTCATATACTTTCACCAATCTTTGAAAAAAAAAATCTTTCCACTGTCAGGGGTGGTGCCCGGAATTCCCCGCAAAGGAGTCCCACACCCGAACGTTGGAACCGAATCATCTTAGCCTAGCTAAATTCAATTTGTCAGGGAATTTGTTTATTAAAAAATAAAACAATTTTGTGTTAAATATGGGATTCTTTATTTAAAAAGGATAATTTGATAGAAAAACATGCAAGTTAAGAGGGTCCATTTCAGGGGACTAGTCCAAATATCGGGATACTAAGCTCCTGTCAGAGGTACCAGCCCACTATCAGGGAAGAGCTGGTGCCACCAATGCAACTCATACGATCGCAATAGTATAAACCTCACACACAGGGTAGCACTGCTGGCATGTCTAAACAGTTTTCAATCCCTAAAATTTGGCAGCTTAGAAAGGCATGCTTGAATTGTACTTGTGATGGTCGAGATTTGATTTTTCCCCTGACGACCTTGCAGGAAATTCCCTGACGGTGGGGGGGGGGGGGGGCAAGCAGGGGGTCCAGAGGTCCCTTTACTAGGGCCGCCCCTGCCACTGTGTTTAATTCCATTGCTCTTTTTTGTTTCAGGTAGAGAGCTGAAATGCAAGTTAAAATATTGCATCTTTCAAAGATGTTTAGGTCTTGTGGGTATATGGATTATGTGCAGTAATTCTTTGGAAAGACTCAGGATATTGCTTCTTGGTGTACTGTGCAATTAACCACAAGAAAGTCGTCAGACTTTTGTCGCTTTTGCTATACACTAAAAACAAAAACCCAATCCACTCCAATTAGCACTATATAAATATAATTTAATTAATAGCAATAAATATAAATTATGAAATAATATTCAATTTGGAATTACAATTGTCAACTATGAATCAAAATGTAAGAATTTCTTATTAAATGGAATGAACAGTAAAGAATCATAATGTTAAATTTAAGCACTGATTGTTGGTATTCTATACGTTGTATTATGTTCTTTTAATATTAATTTCTGATACTGAATATGGAAATATAAATTTTCAATTGTTATAAGTTTTCACAAGAGATGTATTTTGTATCAATAATTTGAAATCAAGCCTCCTACTGAATGACTGATAAAAGATTGAGGGAAGAATTGAATGAATAATTAATTAACAGATGAATGATTGAACTCATTAATAGATGAAGATATGGTATGAATTAATTAATGAGAAAATTGAAGAATAAATAACAGGAATGAATAAATGAATTAATTTAATAGATAGATGAATGAATGAATGAATAAATGGATTAATAAATCAATAAATGAATAAATAAAGGAATAGACTAATTAAATCAATGACTGAATAGATACATGAATGGATTAAATGATAAATTAAAAAAATGAATATTTAAATAAATAAATGGAATGATTAACCAATAAATGGATTGATAATTGATTGAATAGATGAGAGAATAAATTAAATACATGAATGAATAAATATGGCTGAATAGATCAATGAACTGTAGGGGTTTTGTCTCCATCAGCAATAGCTGACATAAGAATGAATACAGAAATTTATAAATGGATGGAGAGATTTTCAATGAATGAAGAGAAGTACGAATCGATGGAGTAAGAGAGATGTATGACAGGTTGGCAAGATGTATGAATGGAGAGGGATGAAAGGAGATGAACGGACATAGAGAGATTAAGAAAGGAAAAAAACATTTTGAGATTAAGTCAAATGTATAGATGGAGAAATAAATGAATAAATTATTGAGATTGATAGATAGATGAACAAATGTATACATACATAAATGGATTAATAAATCAATAAATGAGTAAATTTAAATAAGTTAAATAATAAAATTTAATGAACAGACTGATAAATCAATAAATAAATGTTCTCACAGAATTTCATTTGGTTCCATAAGTATAGTAGAAAATTATCTGCAATCTGTTGGTACGTAAGCAACTAATTGGTTCAACAAGCAAATGATTTTCTGCAATAAATAAATGAATAAGTATATAAATGGATTAAATAATAAATAAAAAATATGTTATATGAATGGAATTATGAATATTATGAATAGATGAAGAAAGAGAGTGGTTGAAAAAATGTATGAATGGAGAGAAAGCTGAAAGGAGATGAAAAGACGGAGATTAACAAGCATGGAGAGATGAACAAACAAATATAGAGATAAATAGTTAAATGGATACATATAGAATTAATAAATTAAATAAATTAACAAACAAAAAATGAGTTTTAATTAATCATTTAATAGGTATAAAACACTTACACTTAATGTTTGATGGAAATAATTCTGGCTACTGCCTATTAGCTTCCATTTCTAGCCTTAAAAAGTTGTCTGGACTGAAGAGGCTTGAACTACATGCTCAGGCAGGGCATTCCAGTTATTGATGACTTATGGTAAAAAAGTTTACCCTGCACATGAGATGAGTCATTTTGGACGATATAGTTTTAAGCTGTGTCCCCTGGTTTTGATGTTATTGGATAACTTAAAGAAATCTTCTGGATAATAGGATGGACTGAATTGAATGGGCGTATAAATGAATATATGAATGAGTAAACAAATAAATGAATTAATAGTGAATGAATGAAGAAAGGAATGAATCAATAAATGGATATATTGATAAATGTGAATAAATTTTCTAAACATTGAAATGAATTAAAAAAAACATGAATAAATAAATAAATAAAATAAATTATTATCTATTTTAAATTTTCTTCTTTCTTTGTACATTTTTAAATATAAATCTTGTTGATTTTTTTCTAAATATTAAAATGAATTACAGAAAACATAAATAAATAAAATAAATAAATAAATTATTATCTATTTTAAATTTTCTTCTTTCTTTATACATTTTTTTTGTATATAAATCTTGTTGATTTTATTGTTTATCCTCCTGTAAGTGGCAAATTTCATTTGCTGTTGATTGGGTATCGAAATAAAACAAAAAAAAAATGGTAAAATAAAATTGAATGAAAGATTAACAGATGAAAATGGATGAATAATTAACAAATAACACCATTTTTATGGGCTTTTAAATGTTAAACCAACATTCTCGCATTCAAACGTGAATTCACACTAACAGTTAGTAGCTTCATTTCAGCCTACCATCTGCACATAAGACGAACATGATAAAAAATAAAAACATGTGTATGTTGCACGTATAAACAACCCCCTGTTTTTTAATAGTCATTTTCAATTTTAAGGCTTGTCTTTTAAGCGAAAATATAAAAAATATACGGTACATATAATAGTAATAATAATGATATGGAGATATATATATATATATATATAGCACAAATAAACAAGGTGTCTATGCACTCAACAATGCTGTAGGTAAGACAATATAAAAGGGCAGAAAAGAAAGCAAGAAAAAAAACAAAAAAACACCAAGGTAGCACCTAAACCCAAGTATGGGGTTACTTACACTTTCACTGGCAACCGGAGATCTATGTTCATGTACTCCGGTTAGCATCAGTTAAGTTTTGATCTTTTCTGGAAACAGGTTCCTCCTAACCTGGACCAAACAACACTAGCTAGGGAGGTGAAAGAAAAAAATATATCTTTATAATTTCAATAGGTTATCTAAGCTACATATTGCAGTTCTTAAAATATCCAACATCCACTTTAGTAAATAAGCTCACTTGAATTTGCTGTTAATCAGAGTAGGATGCCTTACAATATTAATCGCTGGACTTATTGTTCATATTTCCCTCGACACTTGCGGTAGTAGAAACAATAACAATCATGAAATTGGATTTTAAGCCATCCGTAAAGTGGCTTTGACATTATTAGCATCTTCATTTACCAATTACCGTTTATCATGTAAAGCATTGAAATCAGCTTTATTATAATTTTTATTAAAATTATAATTATTTTAGCAGAGAATTATGGAGATTGATTGTCGAGACTCATATTAATGGTGATGACGAACAATGTGTAGGTATACTCTTATTGCTGATAACTTATGATGGTGGTAAAACACTTACTGGTATGCAATGCATTTTTAAACCTTAATTTGCAGGCTAAGGCCTATGTTTAATATTACATACCAAATGCAGCTAATTCCTGATGATGACATAATCAATGTCGAAATATTGAATCCCAACACGATGGCGTGTATTTCAATACTTGGAGTATGTATTATACTTTCTTAAATGCAGCTAACCTGAACCATATTTGGTGCTACACTACAATTTGTTTTGAATTCCATTGCAATGATTTGTTACGAATTTTTAACAGAATATTATCGCGTAAAGCAGTTATCAAGCAGAACTCAAACTAAACCGCTGCACATTTTTGAAACTGTGATTCAATAGTATAGTGATGTTGAACTGCACAAATCTAAATACATGACTGGCAGATCAAGTACACACGCTGATCTATTTAGTACTGTTATTGTCTGTAGTGTGCCATCCCGAGTCATTTGGCATCATCATTTCATTATAATAAAAATAATAATAAAATCTTTCTTTTACAATGGAAGCTTACATATCATGAAAACTTATCAATTTATACTTCCATTTTGGCTGTTACCTGCAAAGGCTTATTTTAAAGGGGGAAAGAGAAGTCCCCTAAAAAAAAACATCTGCATGCCCGCGCTCCTCCATCACACACTAAAAATATACTTATCTAATACAAAATATATTCATAACACCTCATCAGTAAGGCCTTGGGCTGACAAAACTGTGTTTTAAGTTTTCGGGCCTGGAACAGCCTTTCACAAATGAGGGTGTGGCATGCGTAACAATTATGATTATAAAATGCCATCCTGAGTCATTTGACATCATCATTTCCAATATTTCCTCAGATACTACCCCTACACTTTCCATTCCTACTTCCTAAGCCCTCACATCAATTCTCCTTGTATATACCTCAAGAAAAATGTCCTCAATTCATAATAGTATTCAGTAATATAGAAATGTTTCTAAAGTATTACACCACCACTGCCATTATCATTATCTTCATCATCTTTATCATTGTATAACAACTTGCATTATCATTTATAACCAGCAAAACTTGTTATAATAAATTGTCATTACTGTAATTTAATACAGATCATGTGATATTTGAAAAATAAACAGCTACAAAAATAATTGTCAGGGTTAAAGAGGAGACATGATTCCGGAGTAATAGTCTCCCTGGGGAAAAAGAAACAGACAGCAGTCTTATGCCATAAAAAATATTGCAGTATTGAAAAAAAAAATTATGAGTAAAAAACATATCATCAATAAAAAAGATTATAACACATTCCTTGTAAAAGAGGAAGCATCTAAAGATGGGGATGTTTTAAAAGGATGATTCATCAGGTCGGTGAGTAGGAGACGGCAAGAACACAAATTTGTTGTACTGTACCTTTTGTAAATGTGTATTGGTCAATTAAATGGGTGAAATGAAATGAATGAAATATTTACCAAACACAGTACCTGATAAATAATAACCCCACCTATATAAAAATCCCCCTGTCTACAAAAATAAGCTAATTATTTTGATAGGATAGTAGCATTTTTGGTGTGTAACACAAAATGCTTCTAATCCTAAGACTTCTATTCATGAGTGGGGCCTTCTGGTTTGCAGAACTCAGCATACAAAACTCTAATGAGTACTGTGGTGTACTGTGTTCATTAACATGCCACTTGTACAAAAAACCAAAACCCTGAATGTTGAATACTGCATGCATCGTTTAATATGCAAGGAAATATTTTTTATTTATTTATTTTTTAATTCAGAAAGCTTTAATAGTATTGCTTTGATAATGGTAAATGGTTTTAAATTCAAGCGTAAGATACAATATACAAAAGAGATATTTTTTGTATTTTATAAAGCGCAAAATACAAACTCTCTTTTGTGCTGTTCTCAATATGAAGAACAAAACCATCCATGTTTTCTTGGCATATAGAGTAGCATTTGCTTATAATTATAATAAATAGGAATTGTATAATCTGTATCTCCAATAATAGTGCATTGCCAAAAGGCACCAGACAAAACAAAATGAGAAAATATATGATGGCAAATAGGCCTATGGCATTCACTCACTACATATAATTCTGAGCATGATACTGTTACTTGCAAGCAGCAGTGAATATTCTCAAAAGATGATTAATAATGAATTGAGAGTCTGGCAAAACGAATAATAGAAAATAGTAATAGAATAAAAATAATAACCTAGCACGTCAAGTAGCAATAAAACCAAAAAAAAAAAAGTTGGGTACAACAGACACTGGTAGAAAAATACTACGATACTTTTAAAAAGCAAAGGAGTATTGCAGGGGTTCCAAGTCTCTCAGAACTTAAGAAAGCTCATTAACCAGATCAGTGGCGGATTCAAGGGAGAGGGGAAGCTAACCCAGGCTTCCTAAATATTTCAAAATTATGAAAAAATGGGGTACAAAAAGGTAAAGGTACAGTTCGGAGAATAACCCATAACTTGCAGTGTCATTGTGCTGAATTCCGTATGGGCGTGGTCTGTGACTACCTAGCAGCCGTAAAGAGGTGCTTATAGTAGCTATACAATATGTTCACATTATTCCACAACGACAGGGGTTGAAATGAACCATAACATCGGGGTGACCCCCCTCTTCCGAAAGATGCAATGGGTTCTTTAAAGTACACACGAGCCAGATGTATACACTGGATCTCCATTTTAAGTACTTATCCAAGAAGACTTGGTTCTACCGACCAAAACCATGGGCGAGGAATGGCTGGAACCAGTGCCGATGTTAAGGCGTAGTTAGCGGCACCCCTGTCTTAGTACCACTCGGCCACTCAAATCATGAAAATAAATATATATATATATATGTGTTCAAATTTAAGTCTGAGAGTGAACATTTCCAGCCATCTACGGATGCCATAATCATAAATTTTCTTACCTCAGCTCCAACCATGGTTGAGCTGATGTGGTCTGGACCCGCCATCAAGTTCAAGTACCTCCATGACCCCCCCCCCCCATCGACTGGCCACCGTAGATCTCCTGGAAATTACCTCTTCCAACTCGGTACCCATGGTTTTGAATGCTCTCTTTTCATAATTTTCTTTTCCTACATGCATATTTTAAGAACACACTTCATTGGTCAAGGTTGAATTTTGGATGAAAAATTCGTGCACATTCTGCCTGAGCGTTTCTGCTGACCGTCAATGGCAGTTTGAGCAGATTACTGTTGAATGACCTGTTATGCAATGATTCTGTTGCATTACGGTCTAATGGAGCTGCGAGGTAACTGATATGAATATAGCCTACTGATGTGATAGACATAGCTAATTTTTAAGATGGAGAACCATGGATGTTAAAATTGAAGCCAAAGTATGAAGAATGAAAATTTACAATACTCTATAGTGCATTTTCTTGTACCATGGTCTTGATGTTTTATAGGAATGAAACCAAAGGCTTCACCAGTGAAAAGCAATAAATTCATCATATGGAAAAAAAATGTACACTATTTTCAAGAAAAAATTATATTTTATAGAAAAATAAATTGCATGAAATGATACAACCACCAAGCACTTAAGACACATCTGTTGTTGAAACATTGACTTCTTGATTAAGAAATAGGTCACCAGACTAGGGAACTCAATCCTCATATTTTTCTAAATTTGAGAAATTTGATGCTTCAGTAGATAATCTAGTACTAATGATTCTATGGTATATCGGTAAATATATGAAAGGTAGAAAACGCGATCGATGATAACTAAACAAAGAAAATTGCGATGATTTAATGACGTTAATTAACATTGGCAACACTGCGATGCAAAAAATAGAACTTAAGTATATGAAATAGTACATTTAACATTTACAAAGCAGGTAAAAAAAACATCATTCATACCACGATGAACTACTTCAGATAATTGCTTCAATCATTTAACCATCTTCAGTGCTTCAATCTTCATCAACATTCTCCTCCAATGTTTTTCATTAACTTAATAGGTTGAAAATTGCAATATAGTCACTGGCTCTGTTCACTTTTTTATACAATGCATATAATTTTTTTTAATTTGAAAGAATAAAAAAAAAATATACATACAGTAATTAGTTTTTGAGAATATTTTTGCATCAATAAAACAAAGAGTTGCTACCAAGAGTTAATAATAATAATTCCATACTTCTATAATGCATTCCGCAAAAAAAAAGCCTCAATGCCCTTTACAAAATGAAAAGAAAACAAGCAGTAAATAATTTTGACTTAGACTGTGTTACTTAAACTAAAACAGTTCCGAAAATCATCTGTGCTAGTACAGGTACTGATAAGTTAATCCATAAAAATAGCGTACCGTACTCGCGCGAATAAGCGCCCCGTTTGAATAAGCGCCCCTCTTATTGTGAAAATTTCCTTAAGCGCCCCTTCTAATTTGAATAAACGCCCCCTCAATAACCCAATCAATCCTGGGACTGTGGGTGTTGGCATGAATTGAGGTGTGGAGTGGAATCACATTCTCCTTTAATCAATATCAAAGTGAGGATATTTATCTTTGACAGAATGATGAGAGCTCCCTGGACAGACAGTATATTTCCAACTTTCATCTTCTTACATTTGTCTATAGCCGATGGAGAACAAGCTAACCACCACCACTAATTTCAACTGCTATTCTCCTGTTATGTAATACTGTACTCACAACATTCTTGTCATGACAAGCCATGCTCTCTGGACGATTATCTTTTCCGCCGCAGCACCATTCATAATTTGCGGTTTCCTGATGTACTTATTTAATCGTTTTTCATTCAAAATGTGCCTCTTGGATTTAATAAGTTCTCATCGATTTTCAACTATTTCCATAAGCGCCCCCTCAATTTTCACTCTGTTTTTATAAGCGCCCCGTTCGAATAAGCGCCCCGTTTGAATAAGCGCCCCTCAAAAAGTGCAAGATATATTTTAAGCGCCCGGGCGCTTATTCGCACGAGTACGGTATTTTCCACATATGGAAAATCAATAGTGTTATGAATATGTACCTAGATGTTACGAGAACACTTATCTAAAGGAAACTTCTGTTTATTGTATTACTGATCACAGATCAATAAACTAAATTGGCTGTGGATGGTAATCGGAGCTTCTTGCGCTTGTTCGTGGACAGTTTACACCAATTCTATGGATAATGTCAAATTAATGTGGTGGGCTTTGAAGAACTAGCTTGCTAAAACACTTCATTAGTATTGGTTAATGGTTTTAAATTTATATAGCGCAAAATACGAAAAGTCTCTATGCGCTGTAAACACAAGTGTAGAGATGTCTGGAAATGTGAAATCAAAATATGAAAAGTTCCAAAGATGAAAGTTCCAAGCCAAGCCAGAACCAAAATGCAGTATGGACATATGGCCACATCGCTAACCAGGGATTGATCGAATTAAACTCTGGTTAGCACCGGTTGAGTCTCGGCCATCTCGGACTCAAGCGCCTCCTATCCTAATAAAGCTATTAAAACTCACTGGCATGGAAATAAAACAGTATAATACGATTAAGAAACAAAAAAGTCTTTAATCGAGCTTTAAAATCGGTGACTGAAGGAGATTCACGAATGAGCAAAGGCAACGAGTTCCAAAACTTAGGAGCAGCGAACCCACATGACTTCAATCTGCAGGGTAAACAATCAAGAACTGTTGAGTCAGACATTAAACGGAGTGAAAGAGAGCACGTCGCAGAGCATAAATTAATTATTCAGAAATAAATGATGAATGGATTTAAAAACAAACAGACGAATCTTAAAAACAATACGCTGCTTCACTGGCAACCAATGAAGACTTCGGAGTATAGGAGTGATATTATGCTCCCTCTACTACAGTTTCATATAATTCACTGTGCTTCCTCCTTTTCTCCATTACTTTTGTATGAATTTCCCTCATTATAATATCACTTTTTAAATTATCTTCCAAATGTCATGCTTTTAAATTACATCCTATTAGAAATCTGATAGCTATATTAAGACTGATTTTTTAAATTTCATTTTAATACTTTAATGTTCATCTACGGCGAAAAAATCTGCTTTGTAGTCTAAAATTAGAATATTTAAATTGTTTTCTCTTTTCAAGCTTAGATGTTTTAATACATGCGAAAGCAAACTGGAAATTACTTGCCTCAACGTGCAATACAAAACAGGTGCAGATGAGCGTGGTAATTGGGAGAAAAGTGATCCTTTAGATGCGTTTCTTTTCAAAGATACCTCCGTGGCCAACTACACAAAATCAACTCTATATTCATGAGTCACAAAAGCAATTATTTTACTGTAATTGGTTATTATATCTTTATGATTATCATCTTAGATAAGTTAATGAAAAAATGATCAATGCAGTATTTAATAAAAAAAAATCAAAATCATGCAATCGTACACCTGTCGGAATGCAATGCTCGGTGTGTATCTACCATGCACGAGGCTAGATTGTTCCATGCATGAGGGATGCTCTCTCAAGTAGACAGTCAATTTCATGCACATATGAAAAAGTTAAGAAAATTGTGTCTTTCAGTTGAAAGTACTTTTAAATGAGCATTTAGGTATTGGTTTGACCTTATTCGAATGACCCTTTGTTTGTTTTTAAAATGTTCATCTAGTCTTCTATCCTCTATAGTACAGTCCCCTATGGGTTTGATTATTACATACTATAGTGATAAAGATGCCTGTAAAGAAAGTCAGTAACAATATCTATTCCTTATACAGAGATATCCAGTCAGAGAAATAGACAAACAGGCGTTAGAATTGTTTTAAGCCTCGTTTCCAGAGACCAAAGAATCGGAAATATATTCTCCACAATTCAGTGCACACAGCTTTTTATGCCTGCTGGCTTTTCTTGTGTTAGCAGAAAAAAGCCACCTTTTTGCTCTGATATTTTTTTCTTCTATTCCATTTTCCTATGTTATAGTACAGGGTATTTCTGTCTAGCATTTTTATAACTTCCCATGTTTGGGTCTTCTTCAAACTTTGTCCAAGCAAAGATCATATGTAGAAGATATGCATATTAAAATATAACATCATTCTGCATGTTTTAAATACTAATTAAGAGGTAATTAAACTTTTATGTTAAAGCAAATATGCTTTTTATAAAGTGTTTCTAGCAACAGTTATATTAATAATGATGCGAAATGCATGAGCAGTTTTTACCCTTGACTTATAACATTATGCAAGGTAGACACACTAAAATGCAATGAACTCTCAGGGTTGGGTTCCTTAGCATAATAGCAAGAACACTCAACATCAACCAAATTATTACCACTGCACCCAGGTTGAGGCTCACTGACATCACATTTTTTTCATGGTCTTTTATTTTATAATTTATTTTAGTTTTATTTTTGTTTTTCATGTATTTTTCACTATATACTTTTTTAATAAATTTTCTTTTTTTTTTTTGTAGTCATTTTAAACATTTTTTCCCTTTAGGGCAATGAGGGAAAACCCCTGTGTTCTGTTTTACAAAAGGACAGTAAAGTCTGATTTATAATTTGTTCTCATCTAGATTCTATAATTTTATAAAAGGTATAACAGAGGTAATTTAAATATTTGAATAGTTTAATTTAGTTTGCTTAATATTGTTGTAGATCTGTTTAATCGTTAATAAACCACGTATAATGGATGTTAACTTACTGCAAGCTTTCGTCAAGAGGTTAAATAAATATATTCTGTTCCAAATCGCAAGTCACCAGTAATACGTCCCTTTAAATCACTTTATTTTTTAGCAAAAGATTTTTTTTTGTAATCATTAACATCATTTCTCTTTAGGGCAATGAGGAAAAGCCCTATGTTCTATTTTACAAAAGGGCAGTAAAGTCTGATTTATAATTTGTTCTCATCTAGATTCTATAATTTTATAAAAGGTATAACAGAAGTAAAATGTAAATATTTTATTGTTGTAGAACTGTTTAATCGTTAATAAACCAAGTACAATAAATTTAACTTACTGCGAGCTTTAAAAATAAAATAAAAAATAAATATATTCTGTTCCAAATGGCAAGTCACCAGTAATACTTCCATTTAAATCACTTTATTTTTCAGCAAAAGATTTACATCATATAAATGCACAGTACAAAATAATATGTGTAAAAACTATTGTTTGTAAAAAATGGAAACATAAACTTATGGTAAAGAATTGATAACTATAGTAGTACTATCATTGCATTGAGGAAGTCACAAATACTACAACAAATGATGGATTGAAAAAGATATTGTTATTCTAAATAGCAATGAATCTAAAAAGGATGCAGTAGCGGCCATCAGAGACGCATATAAATAATAATATATAAACCATACATTTTATAGGGAGTGAATTTCCTTTAGATTGTCTCCACAGGCAAAGGAGACTAGAATGCCGCTCTATCTATTACCTACTATTAATAACCCTGAAGATGAGCTGTTCAAATTCATTACATTAATTACATATCAACCAATAGCAGTAAGATGAATATCAACAAATTCTGTCTTGAGCACGGCTTAAGATATGAACTCAATAACCATTAAATGAATCTCTTTGGGAAAAAGCGGTATAAAATCATTACATACTTTTTCTAGCCAACTTAAGGGCTTATTGCAAAGGATATCGGAAGGGTTTTACTTTGCATCTGTTAATTAATTGGCAAAGAAAATAATTCTTTTTTTCTAATTTATAATTGCAAGCTAAAAACTTGTCTAAATATAAAAAGTAAGTATTTGAATGATGTGTTTTATTGTTGAAGTTTATTCCCTTAACATAGATGGTATATTTTTAAAAGACAAATCATGTACACAAAATTTATATTAAAGAAAATAAATTGTATCCAAAGCAGCACTGACAAGAGATTTAAAAATGGGGTTTATATAGTAAATAATAGACAGAAGTAAATAATTTAAATAAAATAATTTCATAGATGAATATGATAACACATAATACCTTGCAGATCAATGACGCACACTGATGCATATACAGTACCCCAGTGGGGTCCTCTGTCAATATCTATTCACATTCCTATTCAGATTCAGAAGTACACAATGGCACCTGAAAATTATAAAAAAATTGTAATTAATTGTTGTTTACAGGTTATGTTCTTTATTGCTTTTTATATTTATTTTGTATTTTTAGTTTTTATATGTAACTCCAGTACTCTACAGTAACTTTTTTTTAAAACTTAAACAGCTTCATAAAAAAAAACAACACTTGTACAGGTGATCAAGGTCTCCAATGGTTATCTTCCCTGGATGGAAAACTCTCAAGAAATATTATTTTAAAAAATAGCAGTTATTTTTAGCGTTTCCTCAGAGGATGTGACTTAATTGAGCCTAGATAATTGAGCTTTAAATATAGTTATTCTGGGTAAAAATAAACAGTCAATGTTGGGTGTGATGAACGAACTGAACAGATCCACAGGTTAGCTAACAGTAATGAGAGCAACAAACTTTAAATTGCATTATATATGTTATTAATGAGAATGCGCATAACATGGGCATCGGTGCAGTCATGTGGTGTGTCGTAAAAGCGAACAGTTCTATTTTCTCTGTGGGGTGTTCACTTAAAGGAACAATAATAAAAGTTGGTTTATCAAGCCTAGTATGTATATGTATATATAATTAAATTAATTAATAAGTAATTAACAAATATATATAAGAAAATATTGAAAATATTCCACCCTTTCAAAAAACTGTGTCTACCTGTACAGTTATTTCTATAGTTATGATATTTTACTTGTTCCTTTAAATTAAAATTCATAAAAAAGTGTACAAATTTAATGGTTTATTGCATTTAAAAAGACTGCAAATACGGTGACTGCTAGAAAAAGTGCTATAATTTCACAGCTTGTACACACAATTTACTCTCAAATATCTTAGCAGCTAGATAAACTAATTATGAGGCAAGATTCTTGTTTCAGAGCACAATTATATGTGTTGTTATTTGTTAATTATACTGCTTAAAGCTTAATCTAAAAATAAAATTTAAAAGAAGGTTCTATGTTTTTTAGTTGCTTACTTTGTATACTTTTGGTAAGTTCTTACTGTTTAATTAAATTTTTTCACTAATAAGGTGTTACATTCTACCATATTCTTTTATACACACTCAAATTGACTGATAAATTTTAGAATTGTTTGTAAACAGGAGCGACCGCTCACCAGGTTCGCGCGTTCCTCGATGCTTAAAAAACATTATTTTGAATGATCATTTGTACAAAGTTAAAATACTTAAAATTAAAAAAAAAAATTTTTTCTTAAAATTGGAAAAAAAAAAATTGAATACCAAAACGCATTTTGAAATCACAACCTTAAATTCTTTAGAACACATCCTTAACCAAAGGTCGCGAGTTCTAATCGCGCCTCGGTGTTAATTTTCTTTTTTAATGAACATGAATGACAACTGTTTGACAAAATGAAAAAAAAAAAAAAAATATGCGATTCAAACTTGCTAAATATGCAATTCGAACTCACGACTTTAAGTTCTTTAGAACACATCCTTAACCAACTGCGCCATTCGTGCGACGTGCACTATTACGGTAGTGGTAAATGGCAGTAATGTATAGTCCTTGCTGAAACCCCTGTTTTGATTTGTAAGTGTAGGGGAACCCTGTGGTCTAACTTATAAAAAGGGCGATGAACGCTTGTTGGAAATAAGTAAGAGAGCAGCTTAGCTCAGTCGGCTAATCTGGTGGTAGCCACTGTGTGTGCGCTGAACCGTGGAGATCTCTAGGTCCCCGGTTCAATTCCCATCGCTGCCTCTCCTTGTGTTTCAGCTAGAAGGCTAAAATACAAGTTACATAGCGCACCGTCTTTCGGATGAGACGTTTAAGCCGTTGGTCCCGTGTGCATTTATGGCCCATGTGCACGTTAAAGAACACAGTACACTCTTCGGAAAAGAGTAGGGGATTGTCTCCCGGTGTACTGTCCAATCACCACCAGAAGGGCCCCACTGGAAATAAGTCTTCTTCTAAACTTTCGTGAGCTATCCTTGGTGTTTACACCGAATAAATCCAATCCAATCCAATCCAACCTCTAGTTTATGTGTACAAAATTTCCTGCACGTCCGTTCAAAACAGGCGACGCGGGACTCTCTTAAAATTTGAAACCCCTGTTTTGTTTTGTAGGTGTAGGGCGATGAACGTTTGTTGGAAATCACCTCTAGTACGTGTAGGGGAATCCTTTGGTTCAACTTCTACGCTGGACGCTTTTAAAGTTTTTAAAAAAGGCAATTTTTGGTAACAAGAACAAGAACAGCAGTGAGGCTTTGGGTCAGCCCTCGCACAGACCAAAAAGTCTGTATACCAAAGAAAATAAATTGGGTCAATTTCTCAATGGATGTTGATCAAAGATCTTATAATAACAATTAAGATAGCATTCTCCGCAATTTCTGCATGCAAATTTTGTAATAACAAAGTGTTAGGTGCCCTCTCACAAAAGTGATTACCTTTCAACTTTGACATCAACAATCATTAACTAACGACAGCGCATTTCATGATTTCTGCGTGAAAATTCTCTAGCAACCATGGTAACAACTAGGATGCCCTCTCTAAAAAATAATCACTTTTTATGCTTCTTTCTACTGAACATCGACACTTCTATTTGTCATGCATAAATCACGAAGAGCGCCAACTTGTAATTATAAGATCTTTGATGGTGATAGATGATTAACTGAGGAGGGCATCAACTAACAAATTAATGTAATGTTAAGTAACTTTTTACTACTTGAGCATAATATTTTTGCTCTATAAAATTTCCAGTGGGTGGAGGTGAGGGAGGGAGTAGATCCACCACTAAATGGATACAATAAAATTTGAACCTCAACCTTTACAGTAGGCAAAAAAGAAACGCATTCGTTTCAGAATATTAAAAGTGCTTAATGTCATTGTCCCACTCATAATTACTTTATGTAAACATGTATTTGGACAAAAAAATACAACTGAAATAAACAATTTCATTAACTTTACATGTGTATGTTTTTGTTTTAAATATTCTAAGTTGAGAACAGTTTCAAATTATCAATGCTATCACAAATGAATAAAAATAAACTCTTTTTTCTATGTAAAGGTAAAAATTTTGAAGGATTTGAATTTATGCAGTTGAATGTCCCAATGTTCTTGGAATTTCAAAATCCAGCATATGGAGCAACATTTAAGTATTTCTCTTGGACATTGTAGCTGTACATAGAACGGACATGTCAAAACATGTATATCAATTGTTAGCGTTGCTTTGTATTTTTTCCGTCATTCTAATACTCGTGGATCAAGAGAAAAATGCATCTGTCAAATGCAATTTCTCGAAATCAGAAAGATGTGCAAGCAATGTGCAACCGATTTTTTTAAATTTTTTAAGTAGCTACAATATGTTCATGTAGTGGAGAAGTCTAATGGTCAGTGAGTGCCTATATAATATCAAGCTAAAACAATGCATTCCTGCAAACCACAGAATGGAGAAATCAGGATTTTTACATTTTTAACAGAGGAATAAAGAATAAAATGAAGATTTCAGAAATTTAGGTCAGACCACATTCACTCTTAAAATCAATATCAAAAAGATCAGTAAAATTCTCCCTACTAAGGAGACACCATTATTAAGAAGGGGGCACCTCTATTAAGAGGACACCACTTTTAAGGGGACACCCATGTTAAGGGATATTTTTACAGTTATGAAACAAGGAAAAGCATACCTTTCAATTTGGCCAACCCCTATTCAGAAGATCCCTTTAAGAGGTTACACCTCTTGTTCCTGAAAGTCCCCTTATAATACAAGGGATTCACTGTAACAACTTATTTTCAATATAATAATTTTGGATTACTGTTCATACTTAGTATTTAGTAAGTAGTCCTAGGCCTATCATTGCTTCCATTTTTCCATTTTGTTTGTTCATAATTGTATTATTGTGTAATTAATCATTTCATACTAATAGGTTTATTTTATTTGTGCATTATTGCAGTTATTGCATCAGGCATCGTTGAAGAAAACCAGCTTGATGAATCACCTTGAAGGGCATATTTTATTATGATTATTAATTAATAATATTATTCTTATTATTATTATGTTGCTGCATTATCATGGTATGTTACTATACCAATGTGAAGAGCTACAGATGTTTTATGATTTATTTTATTTCTGGCAAAACATACAGAAACAATGGAAAACTATGTATTGGTGCACCATGCATTGGCAAAAGTGGTCACATGACACTCAAAGCAGTCAGAACAAGCAATATGATAAACAATTCAGAAGAAAAAAATATAAATATATAATCACATTACACATTTCTAGTAGATAAGAGGCGATCTTTTAAAATATTCTAAAAATATTCTCTACTTTGACATATAAAGGCATATCTAATATGTACTGGAAGCCTGTTCTACATACAAATAAATTTTGTTGGAATACAAAATTGATTGTATGGTGCCTGTCAAATGTAATGAGGGAGGGGGTGAGAAATTAAAATTTTTAAATTTAATTGTACCAATCACTAGACATTATTTATAATTTTCTTTATTCGGGATAGAACTATTCAGTGACTAGCACTGCTTTCCAAGGAAGCCCATGTACAAAGATATAGCAAAATTATACAGAAAATATGTTTACAAAAATATAGATAGAATAGAGCTCTGCATGTTTACCTTTTAAATCTGGCAAAATTTTAATAGGAAAAAAGAATGAGGATGTATAATTATGTGACTAAAAGTATACTATACTACTTGTTAATCATAGGATAGAGAGTCTTGGCAAGATGTGAATAGGAAAAAAAGAATGAGGATGTACATACAGGCTAAAAATATGCTATCCAATCATAGGATAATGAGATCTGGGTGTTTATATTTTTAAACTGACAAGACCTCAATAGGAAAAAAGAATGAGGATGTACATGCATGCTAAATATATGCTATCCAATTATAGGATAGAGAGTTCTGGGTGTTTTTTTATTTTAAACTATTAAGATGTGAAAAGGGAAATAGAATGAGGATGTACATGTAAACTAAAATTATGTTATACAGTTTTACTTGCCAATCATAGGATAGAGATAGGATAGAGAGAATTCTGGGT